GGGGGAAGTCGCGTAAAATTTCAGCGAGGTTTCAAGCCAAATTTTTCTCTGACTTCATCGGCTCCTGGTATGCCGTTCAGTGCGCTTGCATTTGGCGGAATTTCTTCCTGGGCAAAGTTGTCGGACCAGTGGAAGCTGTTGCCGTCCTGGAAGCAGTAGTCGGTGACCAGATGACCTTGGTAGTAGGTGGAGTACATGATGTAGAAGTTACACATCTCGTCGTGGTTTGTGGGGCTGGGGAGGAGAAAACGGTTTTAATTCTATCCGTATACCTTGGGGTCATTTTGTACTCTCTGGGTTGTATTCTTCACATTTTAGAATACTTCTAGTACGAAGATCTCTTTGAAACTTTCAGTATTTCTCAAGAAACCATTCTGACAGACTGCTATACAAAGCGTACGGGTCGGATTAACGAGTAAATTTCCTCTTTGGAAAGTGGTGGCACAGAGTTCCCCACGTTGTATGGATAGGATAGTAAAACACGGCTTACGGATAGGGTTAATTAAAAGTGATAGTTTAGCCCTGTATTTGAAATATCCCCCTCCCCCCCAAAAGAAACTAACTAGTGCCCATATGTGCGGTCTTTACTGTCCTTGAGTTAGCTTTTTCTTTATAGTAGAAGGTTTTACGGCGCTCGCAACTGCATAACAGCATAAGGTCATATGAGCGTCAAGTTGGGATAACTTGTGGGTCACTGTGGCGATGTCATGCTTAAAAGAACCCTTTAAGTTAATTAGTAATTAGTGTATAGGCCTACATGTGGTGTGAGGATTCCTCGGGAAAAAAAGGCACAGTCACAAACTAGAAATTTTGAGGCTGTCAATTTTAAAAGCTCGTGGACTCATAACTTCATATTTGTTTGATTGGTGGTTTATTGTTATGTTTGTTGAATGGGAAATCTAACAATAATCAACCAACAAATGAACAGAAATACAGTTGTGAGTACACAAGCGTTCAAAACTGATACCCTCATGATTTTTAGTTTTTGAGTATTCCCGTTTTCCAGTGGACTCCTCGTGTATTTTCTTCTTACTTTTTCTTATTTACAGAATACTATTCTTGTGCTTTGCGTATTTGTCCCCCAAAGTTACACATTTTATAGTTTTTGCTTTTAAACTAACAAAATTGGTACCGGCTCAGTCAATTATGAGCATTTTTTCACCTATGGAAGTGGAAGATACTTTGGGCAATTTCAGCTTCATCTCCACTGGTCTCACGACACGAGTTTATTAACTCTTTAAGCCCTGAGTTTTTTCTACTTTTCCCCGGAGTTTTTTTTCTGCAGTCACCTAAACCTGATGCACTATGTCTCATTATTACCCCAAAAGCTTGCTTTCAACTTCTAAATAGCGGAAACAAAGGCTTAGTCATTACTTAAAAAGCTTGGCTCGGGAATAGTTCCGAAAAACAAGCAAAAACTAGCTCTAGATAAAACGACACAGTTGTCACTTATAGAACTGGACGCTAGTGCTGGGCGGCCAGGTTCCCGATTCTTGAAAGCTAGAATTCCTAGGAATCGACTCCGAACCCAATTACTTTCTAATAATGTGATTTCTTCTCGGTGGTTACCTGATTGGCTCCGAACATCTTCAGATTTAGGATAACTTTGATTTCGGAACGCCACTAAGCATCAAATTTTATTTTTCCAAAATAAGTTCGAAAAAAAAGAAGATTTTAAAGATTAAAGTAACTGGTAACTGTTGGTTTGCCTAAATAGGAGTCGGAACTTTTCTTTCGTAGCATTAATCGTGGGAATCGGTTCCGGAATCGATTCTTCGCCCAGCTCTACTGGACGCTCCAAGCGTCCGATGGGGTTCACAGAGTTAAGCTTTGTTATATCTGGTTTAACGAAAGACATTTTCAAGTGTAATTTTCATTGGTGTACAGAGAAAAATTGGTTCTTTTGACTGACCCTATCTTAGTTCTGTCCTGTCTGGCCATACTGTTCATGGTGCAGCGACCGGCGAGGAGATCACCGGGCTCCAAGTCCATGCCTGGGTTACTCACGTCGTAAAAGGTCTAGGAAAAGAGTGGTTATTCTCATATATATATAAAAATGTATATTTTATTTAACTGATCCTTTGGAATAGAATATATAATAGCAATATTTTAGCTGTATTGACGTATGGTTCAGAGATACAGAAAACAAACAAAACAATTCAATGAAAATTAAAAAGCTTCCAAACAAAATATCTGTGAAGAATTTTACTAATAAAATGGAATGAATTTATTATAAATAGTGAAGTATTGGAAAGAGCTGGAATTGAAGATATCAACAAGACCATAAAAAGGAGAAGATGGAGATATCTGGGACGTGTTCTGAAAATGCCTAAGATAAGATTGCCTTATCAGACATGGAATTGAAAACCTTCTGGAAAGAGAAAGCGGGGAAGACCAACTGGAAGCTATAAAGGCACAATATAAGGGATGAGAAAATCACCCATGAAGGGCCTGGATGTGCAGAAATTGGAAGACGTGGCCAGGGACAGACAAGTGTGGAGTCGACTGCTCTCCGCCTTATGTACCTGACGGTATAGGGAGAGAGTAAGTAAGTAAGCAGTAAGAGTAAGTTTGAAGACCAGATAGAACGTTAGGTCAATTTTATACCACCGATCCTCCTTGGACATAAAACGTTTTGAGATCAAATCGTAAAGGCAAAAAGTTAAAAAAACAAAAACAAACAAAAAATGAAAAGAAAACAACCACAACAGCAACAACAACAGCAGCAGCAGCAACAACAACAACAAAGATAATTCACCCCTTCCCCACAACAAAGCCAAAAACAAAACCCCAGCAAACAAATCAAAAAGTAAAAGTTGCTTTTTCTTGAAGCCCACTTGTTTTAACGGCCTGGAAAAGAATAAGAATATCAAACTATCTTAACGGTTCCTTCTTTCTATTTTTTTCGGAAGTTTGAGAGTCTGGACAGAAAAATGATATCAGTATCATACGTACAACTTATCCTTCTTCAATGTAGTACGTTTGAAGGTATTAGAGGAAAAAGTATATCAAAGAGCTGAAATATCTTGCATTGATAATAACAAATTATTTGTCACTATTGAAGGCCTGACCAGAAAAATAAACAGACCCAGTGATCCTTCCTGTGCTCATTAAATTTACTTGCTGGTAAATGTCTGCAATAGTAATGATAATAATATTATAATCCATCGTTAGGAAAAACCCCCCCATCCAATCCCATTCCTAAACGAAACATTAGTTTCTCTTCCTTTCTCAGGTCTCTCTCTCTCTCTCTCTCTCTCTCTCTCTCTCTCTCTCTCTCTCCTTCTCTTTCTCCCCCCTCTCTCGCTCTCTGTCTCTCCACTCACTCTGTCTCTCCACCCCATCTCTCTCACTCCTCTCTCTTCCCCCTTCTCTCTCTCTCCCCCCTCTCTCTCTTTCTCTCTCTCTCATCCCCTCCGCTCCCACCCCATTGTTTAACTAAGAGGATAGAGTAATGCGTAGACTCTTTGGCTTGCACGTAGAAGACTGCACTGAAAACACTAGACCTAAAAAGATCACTCATGAAGACAATAAGTTTGAATAAGGAGGCAACAAATGAAATTCATTGGGCGTGTATCGCCAACAGAAAAAAATGTGTTGGGAAAACTAAGTACATTTATGTATGACAGGTAAAGTCAAAAGGACAGAAGACAAACATTATTCATATTATATGAGGCATTGTGGTGAAATCATGCGCTCGTCAAAATAATGAAATCGAAGATATCGAAAATTTCCCCCCAGTTTGACAATTTTGTTTCTTCTAATATTTTTGTTTTTTGGTTCAACACCTTTTATGTTCATTTAAAACATATTATTATTGTGGATTTTACTGGAAAAACATTGATTTAAGGCACAACAGATGTACATTTTAGGTTTCCAAGGACTCTTAAGCTTTGGAAATCACCAAACTTTGGGCGACCTTTTTCTCGCTAATTTTACCTCTGAAACCAGGCAACCCTAAACTCCTTCAATCGCACATATCTCGACTTCTATTCAAGATATGAGTGTATTTTTCATCAAAATGTCAAATGTACACGCTTTCAGATTATACCAATAACTTCAGATGCCCAAAAAGTGACGAGCGCATGATTCTACCGCGTCGTGACACATATAGCGTGAACACCTGGGCAAACAATATCATAATGATTTCCTTTTACCTTACTGATGCATTTCTCAATCACCAAATAAACACACACACACACATACACACACACACACACACACTCGCACTCACACACACACACACACACACACACTCACACACACACACACACACACA